CTATTTTCCAACAAAACAATCCTCATGAATTCTAAAATGATTTCTCTACTCTTTGTTCTCATGGTGGCCACAGTTCGTAAGTAAATTATTTAATATAATGAATAAAATAAATTAAAGAAATATATTTAGATTTGCCCCTTCTATTAATATTCACTTTTGGTTAGGTGCTAATGTCAACCTATTGGAAAGCATTAAATTTAAATACATTTTTTGTGTTTGTTTTTAACATATAATTTGACATATTAACTTTTTTTAGAGTAATTTGTTATAATTACCAAACTTTATGCATATCTTTTTTCGCAATGGAGGTAGATGTTTTTCAACTTAGGTCGAATTCTATCCTTATGATTAACAACCATCTCCAATTAACATATATTGAATTATAGAGAATATACAAATTGGATCAACAAAATAAATTTTGAAGTAACATCCAAATATAAAATTGAATACGTAACGTAAATATCTTCTATTGTAGCGACATATTTTTTTTTAGTGATTTCATTTATTGGTATATATATTCAGTTATATTTTATATGGCAGTGAATTATGATTACAGTATTTTTGACATTCACAAATATGGTCCGAGAAGTTAAGGCTAGAAACCTTCCTCCTCCATGCCTTAAAGATTCAGATTGTGGCGATCCACATTGTATTTGCGAAGGGAATCACTATTGTAATTGTGGACCACTTGTACGATTTATGCAAAGAAGCTCAAGCCCAATTGGTGAACAAGGATTTGCCAAGCCCATTTTCTAATTAATAATCAAGTTCATTTCATTTTAATAAAAAAGATGGTTGTATCGTTTCTATGATCTTTTTGGCATGAATTTGTACTGGAATTTAAACTTAAAACTAATAGCCAATGAATGAGAGTTTGATGATTAGATTTATAAATTGCCTGACAATCTCTACAAGAAAACTGCAATTTTGGCACGACAAAATTAGCACAACGTCTATTGTATCTAAACAAGATAGAAAGTCCATACGGTGAATGTGAACTTATTACAAATTTCAAAGACCATAATGTGCCAAGATCTCATGCCTAATATAAAAAAATTAGATATATGCATGGTACTTTTTTATAGAAAATTCAAACATGTATTATTGTAGAGAAAAAAACATTATTATTGTAGGTCAATGTTATTTTCACATTATTTTTACATTAATTCGGTTTGAATAAATGATTTAAAAACATAAATCAAGGATTATGCACCTTGAATAAATCAAACTAGTATTCTAACACGTGGGACGCATGGGGTCAGACTAAATTTTTGTCGATTCTGAAACCTCTTCAATGCAATATTTTTTTCAAAAAACTTATATAATTCTGACATGATTTTTAATACTATAGACAAAAATGCCAAAGTAGAATAAATAATATTTGAGAATTGAATGTGTACTAACAAATCTTTTTTAATACTAATTTTTTTGATAAATTTTAGGGCATATAACAATTTTGGTATGGTTGCAATGGTTTCATTTGTCATTTGGAACCAATATTTTTAATTCTGTCATTGTCATGGCTCCTAAAAAAGAAAAATAGAGCTAACCATCAATGAAGAACAAATTGGTTAAAAATAATCCAACAAATGACAATGTTTGACATTGACTTTTGCTGATAGTCATTGCAAAGATAAGACTATTGGGAATTATCTTCTCTAGAACTTCAGGAGTAATTAGATCGGATGGTACCAAATTCATCTACGAAATGTAAACTTTTTCCCCGACTGAATTTCCCAAAACCATAAAAGCATTGATAACGCTCTTTCGTAGCTCTTCAATGATTAATCTTGTATTATTACATAACCACTTTGCACACCCTTTTGTCCACCCACGTGTCCAAGCTTTTTATCTTCAACTTAGATTATCCAATTAGAAAAAGCTTGTGTGTGCCTATCTGCGCAAGAGGACGTCGATGAATACAATCTCATATTATTTTTCAACATATAAAGTTTATAGTATGACAATATTTTTGAAGAATTGATGGTAGTATCTACAATTTCCTCTCTTGAAACTCTGGGTAAAACTGGAAGAATTTTCCAAATATCACCTCCCTGTACAACTCTTTTCCCTCCAAATGGTTCATTTCTCGAATTTTTATTTGAGAAACTCATTACATCTCTCATTGTATGATCCAATGTCTCAAAAGCAAATATATTTGTTATATGTAATTCATCCCATATGATTAGACTTGCTTGTTAGATTAGCTCTGCTTTCAGACTCCTTTGTTTGATGGCACACGTGGAGCACTTGGTTAGTGCTAGAAGGATTAAGAATCTCGGGTGTGTTGTCCTCTCCCAGGAAAAAGCAATGTTGCAATGCCACTAGATCGTCATTGAAGACAACCTTACCATTTGACCTCAAGGAAGCAGACAATGATTTTCCTAGAAATATTTTACTTGCTTTAACAATTTGTCTAATCTTCTCATGTTTTATAAAGTTTCATTCTAGTTCTAAAAGAAGTTTTTTTAATTAACTTACATGAATATTTAAATAAATATAATCAAACTGACTGCTTCAATTTAAATATATCATAAAAAATATGAAACTTATTTATAAGTGAAGAAATATCTTATTAATTACTTAGGGCCAATTTGGTGAATTTTGGAGATATTTTAAGATGTGGGTTATGAAAAATCTGAGAAATGATATGGATTTTTTAATCTGAAATGATTTTATTTAGAGAGATTTAAATTCAAGATTTAATCAGTGATAAGTAAGGGCTGCTGGCAACGGGAGTGGTAAGTAGTGACAATGGTAGTGAGTGGCGAAAAATGATCAACAGTTGAGAGAGATATCAAACCTCCACATTGATATATCCCAAATTTCGAAAATATTGAGACCATTCATTTTAAAGATTTATGATATCTGGAGATACTAAATATGATAACTTCTTTGGCTTCACCAAACACCATAAAAGGATTAGGATATCTAGACATATCAAAACTCATATTTTTTTTGCTCACCAAACACACCGTTAGAAGTTTTGTAATAATTGAATAGAAAAATATGCATAATTAGGAAATAATTTATTATAAAAACGAATATCTCTATTCTCTTCCATAATTAATTGTACTGAATGACTTCATACCATAGTGTTAACTTCTTACTTTCTATAATATCTTTTACGTGTTAGAAATGTCTCGTAAACAACATCACATCTTAGCTTTTAGAGACTAAAATATCAATTTTATAAATAAAGGATCAATTATAAACATATTTGATCCTTTCCAATAAGAATACTTTTAAACGAAAATATATCATTATCAACATTTTGTGTTTTGTGTATGCACTTAGTTAAAAATTTGATTCATAAAAAATGGTAGTCTAGAAATGGTCTGTGATAATACCAATTTTATATTTTCACTAATTTTTTGCTACATCATAATACGTTTTATCATAAAATTATAATTCATATAATTGTTTTTCTTTAATAATTTTATTTCGGACAATACTATGTTTATCTTTCATAAATTTGATTTTATAACATAATTAATTTTATCATAGCATAAAAAATAAATAAATGATTTGCGTTTTAAAAATAAAAAATATAAATACACAACTAATGTCACGAAGTAATGAATTATTTATTTGTCCTAGATCTTTTTACATAATTTTTTTCCAAAAATTGATTTATTATTATATTTCTATTTTAAAAAAAATAAAGGTCAAATCATCATTAATAAAATTTGCCACATAAGCAACCAATAAAGGCTTGCCACATCACCTTAATATAGCCCACATAAGCTTGACACTTGATGATTTTCTAGCAAAGGGAGTCTCAAATATTATATTAAAGGATTAGCACCAACATTTATTTTAATTGTGATTACATATTTTTTCATTGAGTATAAAAATTTGTTTTCATTTTTAAGCGCAGAATTTGTATTGATTTTTTTCAAAATTATTTTTGAAAAGGTTGTTAGTTCCATATTTTGTTGGCATTATTTTTGAAAAAAAATAGTTTTATTTAGAATTATTTGTAGCTGTTATTTAAAAGTAGAGTCCAAGTATATATACAAATAGAAAAAAAGAGAGCTCGAAAAAATAATTTTAATCCTACATGATCTACTCTTGGGCTACGGTTTCAAGTAGCATACAAAAAAAAGGAAGAGCCGTATGCCGAGGGGAGAAAAAAAGAACTCCATAATTGTTTTGAGGAGTAGAAAGAAAAAGACTACAGTTAAGGGTGGACACGGTACCGGTACGGTACCGTGACTCGCAACGGTACCGCTACCGAGCACCGTCTCCGCCGACCGGGAAGGACCACCGGTTCCAGGAACCGGTACTGGTACCGCCCCATTTTGTGTCGATTCCGGTGCCCAAATTTCTTTACCGGCACCGCCGGTACCGGTTCCTTTTATTAGTATTCATTTTTCATAAGGTATCCAACTATTCAAAATCATTAAATTAGAGGGCATGGATCTTTTTTTACTTGGAACTTCTGTTCATATTATGACCCGAGACACTTAGAGTACTCTGTTTGTAAAATTGATGGTTCCTACCCCCAACCTCCCTAAACCCTACCCCTACCCCTACCTACTCACCCCACCACATCACCATTCCTACCTCCCCCCCCCTCCATTTTGCCGATTGTGGGTAGGTAGGGGCCAGCTAGGGCTGGAGGTAGAGTTTAGGGGGGGTTATGGGGTAGGAACCATAAATTTTACGAACGGAGCACCGTAAATGCCCCCAGTCATAATATGATTTGTCGTTCTAAGGTCAAAAGAACCATTTTGTAAATTAAAATACATTTGTGTATTTTTTTAACATATAATTCAACATATTAAAATTTTTTAAGATACTCTATTATAATTACTACACTATAGACGTATCTTTTTTCGGGCTAGAGGTGGATGTTTTTCAACTAACGCTTGAATTAATCCATACGATTGATAACTGTTAAATATAATATATTGTTTCCTATTATTATCTCCTACCTTGTATAGGAATAGGAATACCATGTATATATAAACACATGTACTCCCACATATTCAATCAAGGAAATTAATCTTTCTACATGGTATCAGAGCCTAAAATACCAAAACCCTAATTCTCTCCCCTCCTCTCTCCCTCTCTCGGCCTGAGCCGCCGCCCCACCAGCGGCAGCCCCTCCTGCCGCCGTCTCTTCCTCTCGCCGGTAGTCATCCCTCCCCTCTCTCACAATCATGGCCGAAGCTAGTGAAGTCACCTCTCAAAATACCTCCCCCAAGCCTCCTCATCTTGCTTTCACAACAGTATCTAATGTGAAACTCCATGTTCCTGTTCAACTCAGTCTCTCTCAACCCAACTACGAAAAGTGGAGCCGACTTTTTCTCCTTCTTGTTCGGTGCTTCAACCTCCAGGGTTACCTCGCTGGCTCTGTCGTCCCCCTCTCCGATGACGACGATGAATGGTTCCAACTTGACGCTCTCCTCCAGGGTTGGATTCTCTCTACCATCACCGATGAGGTCTCAGATCTGGTAATCTCCTCTGTTTCTACTGCCTCTGCTCTCTGGAAAGTCGTTCACGACTTATTCCACGACAACAAACATGCCAGGGCCATGCAGTTGGAGCATGAATTTCGCACGACCATCAAAGGCAACTCCACCATGGCGGCTTATTGCCAACAATTGCAGAATCTGCCCGACTGGCTAGACGATGTCGATGCACCAGTCTCCCAGCACCAACTTGTTCTCCAAATGCTTCGTGGTCTTCCTGCAGATCTTCAGGCACAAACATCTTTCATGCAATTTCAGGATCCCATGCCCACTTTTCTGCAAGTCTGTTCTGCACTCATGCTTCTGGATCGACAACGGACGAGTCCCACTGACTCGGGCACCACGGCTCTTCTCTCGAACCGTGCCGGTGGCGGCTACCACGACGGTACTCCCGGCGGCTATGGCAGACAGCATGGTGGCACGGGCTATGGTGACGGCAATCCCGGTCAACGTGGAGGCTACGGACGAGGCCAAGGTCGTGGCGGTGGAAATCGGGGGCGAGGTCGCGGACGTCAAAAACGGCTCACGACCGCGGCAATCCTACGACGGCAACAATACCTGGAACTCACCAAACCCTAACCCTAACCCGGGCCTCCTAGGTCCCCGCCCCAACCACCCCCACCCCGCCCACGCCTACTACACCCTAGCCCCCTTAAAATGAAATACAAGTTTTAAAATACACCAGCAACGTAAATCAAAACAAAGGAAGATCAATTCTTGGATGTATGTCTTGTTGTATGGCGTGTCTTCGAAAGTCTATGTTGTGTTAGAAATGTACTGCACTGATCTGATTTTGAAATTGCAGAATTACATTTTAAAGAAACTAACTCCCTATTTGTAGTATAAAGAAAAGAAGGAATTCAATTCAAAGTTTGAATTTGACTCGATTAAAAAAAGGAAATAAGAGACTTAAAGTCCAAAAAATTCTATTTTCCATGAAGAAATATATAAATTTAAAATTTAAAATCAAATACGTGTTTTCCCAAAAAAATTCCGAAGTAAATCAAATTTGATATAATTAAAGTTATAAAAAAATAACAAAATAAAGAAAGATCAAAGGGATTTGCATGTACCTATTTACCAACGAAGAAAGAAAAAAAAGGAGATGGGGTGTTGGCGCCCATTTCCAAAATCGTAGGAGATAGCGGAGTTATTCACTCAATGTCTGAAGGATATTTTTGTCCAAAGACCATTTGGATAGAAATATTAGAACCAAGAAGCGCAACGGGGTAAGTTGTAAATTATGGGGGCGGGGTAACGGTGCACATTTAAATAACTACAGTGGGTGCAATAAACTCGAGCCGCATTCGACATATGGTTCGAAACAAAAATATTATGACTAAGAAAATGAAGAGAAAGAAAAATTTCAAATGGATCTAATATAAGTTATTTTAATAAAAAAATTTCAAAAAATATCACACCTTAAAATTTTTAATTCCAACATTTTCCAATTCATTCTTATTTCATTCGATTCCCCTAAACTTTTAGTTATTTTTAACTTCTTTGTATTTATTTCATCTCTTTCAAGATTCTTGGAGGTCACTCCAATGAATAGGCCCTTATACTTGCGATGTAGAAATTTTAAGGACTATGTGATAAATGCCCTTGATTTGTTTTAATCTAATACCAAAGATGGAACGATATACTCTCTCCGTCTGAGAGTATTTGTCCACTTCTGTTTTTTTCTGTAAAGTTGGTAATTTTTGACCTCAAATTAAATAAAAATGATATTAGATATTGGTACAAAAATAGTTTTAATATATTTATTATAAGAAATATTTTCAAAATATTATTTTATCTAATCAATTTAAATATATATTTTATTTAATTATGGATCATAGGTTGAAAATGATTGACTAAAAAAAAGTAAAAATTGGACAAATACTCAAGATTGGAGGTAGCATTTGTTTATTGTTTTACAAAGTTGTAATAAATACCCTAACAACTTTCTAATTTGCTCATAGGAAAGATTTTTAATGCATACGTTATCAATCTCTTATCGCGGTTATAAATAGGGAAAACTAAAAGAGAAAAACATACTTCAAAAACATTAGCCCCAAAAAACAAGAACTATTTTCCAACAAAACAATTCTCATGGATTGCAAAGTGCTTTCTCTACTCTTCATTCTCATGGTGGCCGGAGTTTGTAAGTACATTATCCTTATATAATAAATAAAATAAATTAAAGAAATACAACCTTGTAAAATATAACTTCATTAAATTAGTTCCTTTGATACATTATTTTTGTAGAACGTAACTCTTTGTTTATCCTATAAAATGATTCTAGTCAATTCCTTCTATTAGTATTCATTTTTTGCAAGGTATCCAACTATTCAAAATCATTAAATTAGAGGGCTTGGATCTTTTTTACTTGAAACTTCTGTTCATATTATGACCCGAGACACCTAGAGTACTCTGTTCGTAAAATTGATGGTTCCTACCCCCAACCCTCCTAAACCCTACCCCTACCCCCTACCTACTCACCCCACCACATCACCATCCCTACCTCCCCCCCACCCCTCCATTTTTCCGATTGTGGGTAGGTAGGGGCCAGCTAGGGCTGGAGGTAGAGTTTAGGGGGGTTAGGGGGTAAGAACCATAAATTTTACGAACGGCGCACCGTAAATGCCCCCGGTCATAATATGATCTGACTTTCCAAAGCCAAATCTTCAATGTTCACTTCCACTTAGAGTTCAACATATAACAACGACGACTTCAACTTTGTCATTGTCCTTATCAACACCATTCTCAATTCTTTCTTAGTCGCAATTCAGGATTTCACTACAAAATGAAAAACATTTAATGTTGCCCTGTCATCCCCAAACATGTATATTCATGAAAAACACAATCACATGACAAAAGAAACAATGTTATATATACACAGCAGTAGTTGAGTGAACCTAAACACAATCCGCATAGAAGCACCAAAACCTCATGATCAATCAGTTCACCCTCTGCAACATGTTTAAAAATAACTAATGCTCACACGACCCAAAACCAGCCTCTTGCAATAAACAAAGCAAAAATCAAAACTAATTTTCACACGACCCAAAACCAACCTCTTGCAATAAACAAAGCAAAAACCAACCTTGAAACTGACAGTTTGCACAACACAGGGTCTTCAGTTTGCATGACTAGCACAAGGAGTTATGTCCGGAGGTAGGTGAGATGGTGAACAGCATGCATGGAAGAGCAGCAAGGTAGCAAACAAGGTGGCTACATGTGTCGTTGAACGAAGTTTCTGAAGATGGTTAGCCTGTAGAGAGACAGAATTCAAAATGTGAGTGAAAACACATACATTCACCATCCCAAATGTATACTTTTGGATGAGTACCCAATTCCTTGATTATAACGTACTTTGTAAATATGTAGCTCACAAAAGAAATACCCCGAGGCATTAGAGTTAATTAGTTGACAGAAGGGGTCTTTAAGCCCCTTGTGCTGCCGTGCCGTGCTATAAATATGATATTCAGAGTATAATATGTTAACAAAATCCTTTATATATACTAATTCCCCACCGGAAATTGATTATTACAAAATATAATACCTTTTCAGGAGTCTGCCTGGAGAAACTTATTCTTACACTGCCACATCTCTCAAGAATATTGTGCAAAGACGTTATCTGCTTGGCAAGGTCTACACCATATTTGCAAGGTCTGCTCCGCTGTTAATAAATACTCTAAATCAATTATGAAACAAGTCCGAAGAAGAAAAATGAAAAGAAATGCAAAATGATAAGAAGTTTGCAAACAAACCTGGATAACAAACACGTTAATTTTCAGATGCCAATCTTTTAAAGGAGCTTGCAATTGATATTGTATTTCTACCTGATGCAACCACCAGTAAAAGACCATCCCTGAACAGTGTAGGAAAGAAAGGAAGCATACACTTCAAACTAACATCCATGACCACTTGCATAGTACCAACCTACAAGAATCTTCAAAACAGAATAGAACAACCAACACCCATGGCAAGTTGCCATTTACCAATTCAAGCAGAAACTCAATAGTCACAAAGTCCTTATCCCAAATAATACCAAAAGGTAAACAAATAAGCAAAGAATCACATTAAAGGTAAAAACGTATTCATTAACCATAGAATCCAAACAAAATAAAAAATAGAATCCAAAAAAGATTGACACCGTCTTTATATTCTTTGCTTAGACGATCGTTGGTATATTCTCCACCCGTATTTTGAAAAGCGTAATTCAAAAAAGATTTAACACCGTCTTTATATTCTTTGCTTAGACGATCGTTGAAAAAACTCATCCATTTCTTGTTAGGAGCCATCCAAAAAGACAATAATACCTTCAAAAGACATATTAAAATATTATGTACTCCCTTCGTCCCAAAAAGTTTGTTACGTTTAGAAAAAATTGCGTCCCGTAAAGTCCGTTACATTTCTATTAAAAAACCACTTTTACCCCTTACTTTTTCATACCCTACCTATCACATCATACCTTTTTTCTAATAATCTACTCATCACATCTTACTTTTACCTATCACATCAAGGGTATTTTTGGAAAGTCAATACCAAAATATCCCTCTTTTAATTTCCCAAAAAGTCAAACCGTCCCATTCTTTTTGGGACGGAGGGAGTATAAAATAAAGATTACAAGTATAACAAGCATAATCAATAGAGAGAAAGCTAGAAAATATGCCAGCAATTCTAGAAAGCCAGAAAATATAATCAATAGATAGAAAGCTAGAATTCTGGAAAGCCAGAAAATATACCAGCAAATAAAAAAGAAGTGTTGAAACATTAGAATTAACATGGACTCAACAATGGCTTTTCCATTTCAGTTTTTGTTCATAGAAGGAAGTTAGGGTTGCCGCACCAGTAGAAAATTTCTACAAACTTTCATAATGTAATAGAATACTTTAGAGGGCCAACAGTCCCACACCCAATGTTTGAAATTGCGTATTGCGGTTTTGAGGTGTTTTCTTTTCATGGCGTATTGCATAAGCCTCGAGGCGTATTGAGGCGTAAGCCTCAATTTTTAAATTGAAAAATTACCACAAAACAATTTAAAACTAAAGATAGAACATAATATATAACATAAATAATCCAAAAACATTAAAAAAGCATATTATCAAAGTAATACATTGCAAACACAGCAAAGTCTAACATAGAATAAGACATAATATTGCTCAAAGTGATGAGCTTAAATTGAATAATTGAAAAAAAGTTCATTAGTGTCTAACATCTTGAAATTAGGATCAAAAGATTAGCACAACAATTATCAAAAAAAGAATAAAAAAGAGATTAACAGCAAAAAAAATGCATCACTATCCAACTACTTGACAAAAAAACACCAATTATAAACTCCAACCATAAAAAGGAAAATTGAATGCTCGTGTACTTCATAAAATGATAACAAATAAAAGTAATTAAATAAATTTATCAAGATAATAAGTTAATAGTAGATCATAAATCCTCCGACTATCATCCATCTATTCTTATACTCCCTCCGTCCCGTAAAACACTTCCTCTTTCTTTTTTTATCCGTCCCTTAAAACTCTTCCTTTTTCCTTGAAAAAGACTTATTTGCCTCCCACCCAAATTAAACCCTACCCATTCACAGCTGACACTCCACACGAATCACATCACCGATTCCCACACCTTCTTCGTCTCTCTAGATCTGAGTTTTCCTTTTCCTCCTCTCTAGATCTAAGTTCGTCTCTTCCTCTTCTGTAGATCTAAATCTAATTTCTCTCTCGAAGAATAGATCTAAAGGTCTTGAACTTCAGATCTTCTTCTCAGCCCTGATCCGATGTTATCCCGCGATCCTTCGATTACCTTTTTCACACAGAAAAGGCTTGATGGCATTAGAATGTCTTCTTATGTCCTAGCTCTTTAGCCACCTTTGGACTGTTGATTTTGAAACATCCATTGCAAAGGCTAAGGCGCGCATGTTCTTCCTTCTGTGAAAGGGTACTGCTAACATTTTTTGCGTGTCAACAGTACCCCTTTTCTTTCCAGTATTCCCTATCCACTTGCACTGAACATCCACAGGTAGACCTGCCTGCATTTGAGTCTTAGCTATACTCCATATCTTTCCAACAGTTTTGGTTGATATGTTGAATTCTGCAGCAACCTCTTTCATGCAGCCCCTCTGAAGTTTGCCATTTTTACAAAATTGAAGTAGCTTGTCAACGACTCGTTTACGTTTACGATTACGTTTTTCACAACCTTTTTTTCCCAAACTACTCGTTTCTTCTTCTGCTGCAGGGGTGTCAAGACTGAGGAGGGGAACCTGGACTAAAGGTGGCAGGTTCGTACTGCATGAATTTGAAGAAAAGGAAGACAACAAAGATGCGGTTGACAAAGACGGTGATGATGGCGGGGAGACCATTGATACGTACAGCAGAAAGAAGAACAAAAGAGATATTTATGGACATGGTGAGAAGGAGGACATGAAGAAGCTGAAAAAGGACATCCTTTAAGTGTGTATTAAATGCAGATCAGAAAGAAGTTTCTATCTATAGATTTTCTTTAGGAATTTCATATTGTAATTGGAGGGAAGTTTAAAGTTTACCAAAATTTAATTTGGCACAAAAAATTCCCTCCAAATTTGGATTTTGGCATGTAATTGTACCAGAAATAGGAAGGGGAATTATAAATCCCATGCTGTAGCCGAACTAATCCCTGGTGTGGCTGTGTACTTGGTTGTACTTGGCTGTGTACTTTTTCACCTTTTCATTTAATACAATACTATTCACTTTTTTCTCTTTACTCCTTTTTATTTCAGGGTTTGGGGGTATTTTGGGAAGGTCAAAGGGACAAATACACTCCCTTAAATTTTAGTTTTAGTCAATAAGTCTCGTGTTTTACGGGACGGAGGGAGTACCATTTACCGGAAAGAAAAAAAATCGTACCTGCTCTACACACAGAAAACAAAGACGCACAAAAGATGAATCGCACCTGCTATTGCGATGGAGATGAATCGTAGCTTGGAAATCTCAGCAATTAGGGTTGCAATTAAGGTCATCGACTAGGTAATTTTAAAATATATACACTTAATTGGGATAATTGACAACTTTAACCTTTGATTTCCAAAATTTTACACGCTAAATTGCGTATGCCTCATTGCGCGCCCCAGTGCGTACGCCCCATGGCGTAAGCCTTTAAGCAAATTGCGTAAAATGGCTAATTGCGTGAATCGGGATTCGCACCAGGGCGTTATTTTCAGGAAAAAGTTTCATTGCGCGCCTTGAGGCGGGTTTGGGTTCTGCCTTTTCCAACATTGCCCACACCATGGTTTTAAAAGGCGTTTGAGGCGGACTGCCTCGAGGCGGTAAGGCCGTGAGGCGAGTCTTTTAAGCCTCTGAAGAGTAAACCTCGATAGGGTATGTGAGGCATATGCCATGCCAAGCTGAGGCAGAATGAGGCGATTGAGGCGGAGAGGCGAAACTGAGGAAGTAGCCTTGCTTCAAATTAAAAGTAAAGAATGTGCAATTGCTGCAAGTCATATGTATTTTTCAAGCAAAACATCTTAAATATATCAATTTGGAAAAATACATACACTATTTAGTGCAAATTTCACTTAAATGTTCATTCATCATTTATGAAAATTTATTTATGATAACCTTTAAAATATGATGAGTTTAAAACAATATATTTTGTATTAAAAAATTATGGACTTTTGAATTTATTGAAAATTATGTAAATGAATAAATGAAATTTTTCAACAAAAATTAAATAAATTAATCAACAAAGGAAACTAATCATGATTAGCTCGGGTGTTTTTCAAAAAAACAAAAATAATATCAAAAGTCTTTTGATTAAAATATAGTTTTTAAAAAAATTATTAAATTATTCTTTTGTATTAAAATTTTTTGACCTAAAATATACTTTGGAGTAGCTCATCTTATACCACTAATTAAAGATGAAAAATTTATTAAAGAAAATTAGTGCATTATGGGTTTATGTATATTAGATAGTTTTTAACATGAAAACTTTGTGGTTTAATTTATTCAATAACTTTTTTAATAACTAAAATTTCCTTAAATATATAATGGGGAGTAAAAATATCTATCAAAATTTAAATTTTGTTTGAGATATTATAAATATATTCACATCATGGTATTGATAGTCTTTAAAAGTATTTATTTTTTATATAAACAATGTTTATAAATAATAAAATTTTTGTCTTTAAATGAGAGTATTTTCATAAAGGAAATATCTTTATCTTTATATATCAAATTTGAGAGTTAAACTCCTAAAATAGTGACAAGTGGCGAATCTACATTGCAACATTTTAACAAATCACCCGTCTCCTATTAACGATTGAATGACGTGGGAATTTTAACCAAAATATGGGTAGATCCAATATAAGTTGTAAACGGTGTATATGTCTTATGCACATTATCGCTATAATTTTTGGAAAAAAATTCTCTGTACTAGAAAAGGAATAAACATGGAGAAAATACCAAAATAAAAATGCAAATTTTTTATCTCCAAAATAGGACCTACCAAACATTAAGAGATTCCTTAGTTTCAAAAAGAAGTCATTGGTAATGCATTTCTTTCAAAAGACAATGTTTGTTCTATATATCGAGGTTAAAGTATACAAAATTGAGAAGAAAAGTCAATTGAGAAGATCAAATCCAAACACAGAGCGAGTATTATTGAAGAAATTAGAACCTACATGAGATTTTATGAAATTAAGTGAGAACTAAAATTCTTTTTTTTATTAAAATTTTTATATAATCAACTTCTAAAAGAAATTAAAATAATAGTATAAATTTTTAAAATCAACTTCTAAAATAATAGTTACATTTTTCATATAGTTTTTAAAAAAATTATCAGGTAAAAATAATCACAGGTATTTTACATCCAATTTTTTTTCACTAT